CATAATTTTTTTACGGTTTTTTTTTGTTATAGTATATTCCATTTCATAAGTATACTTATAAAGTTGGCAATTTTGTTCAGTATATAGAAGTTGAAATATATCAAAATTATTAAGATAATGGTGCAATTAAGTGTAACTTAGGTAATTAAATTTTACATTAAGATACCAAGATAATTTGATCTATAAAGATTCAGCACTTATAACTTATAATAAGGTTTAAGAAAATTAGATGTAAATGTCCTATTAAAAAAAGAAGAAGACATTTTTCATTCAAAGAAAGTTTGCATTTAGTGATGTTTAATCATAGGAGCGATTTACTAAAAGGTCTTCACTTACTCATTACCATGTGTATTTCATAAACTAGCGTTAAAATTAATGACATAAATTCTCCAGTATAAGCTTATTGATATATTTGTCATTATTTACGTACTTTAATGATACCTATTCAAATTCAAATGTTCTTTACATAGATATTGAATAAAGAATACAGACCTACATAGGGAAATAATTACTAGATTTAGTTAAATGTTTTCGAAAGTTTAAATTTGATTATCGAATGATCAGATCTGATTTATCCAAGCAAATCATTGTTCTCAATAAACAAAATGAATTTCTAAAAAAACCTTAGCGTCTATAAATACACGTATAGTGAAATCCCCTGTAAGCCTCTCGACTAACAAATTGCTTCCAGGCCACTGACTGAGGAGACACCTGTCTCCATGGCGTCACCATTCTGATTAATAATGCAAGATGGGAATTATTCCGTTAACTTAACCCTGTTAACAGTTCAGCCACTGCGTGATTTATTAAATCGTGTACATGTAAATTTTTATCACAAATGACAATGATATGTGTTTGAGCTACATCTTACTAATATTATAAACCCGAAAGTTTTTGAGTCTCGATAGATATATGGATGGATCTTTGTTATTTTTTCATGGACTTTTCATGGATAACTTCACGGATTTTGATGAAATTTTACAGTAATATATTTTATACATCAGATTAGGCATAGGCTATAATTTAAAATGATGTTATGTAAATTGGGCGCAATATAATACAAGTAAGTGTGATACAGACGAAGCTACTTTTCTAATATTTTAAAATATCAATTCTAATTTTCTTTACTATTTTAACGAATAATAAAAAAATAACAATTGTTATTATACATATTATGAATCTTTGCGACTGTTATTCCAGATGTATGTAATCGTATTAATAAAACATTTGATATTTCATTATGTTTATCAATGTAACGTAGCAAGGAGCTAGAAAACCGCGCGCTGTGTCTCGATCATATTTGTTTTGTTATCAATATATCCACCACCAGCTAGTCTGAACTATAAATTGACAATGAAAGTATTTTATAATTTTCATAAATTAGATATTAATGATTATTTTTTTCATCAGATACTGAAGGCACATTGAAGTTACTATGTGAAAGAAATAAAAAGATGAGAAATAGTAATTACAACTGTAAATTGTTCCTGTTGCTCAAATTATTCATATTTTGTTATGTTGGTTACCTGCCTACTTGATACATATAACTGGCATTACATAGTAATAATATATTATAATTAGTATCTAATTGCTTCAACGGGTAAAATAAAATAAATTGTTTCATTTGTTCTTTTTATTAATTTCATTTTTGGGAAGGTTATATTAATAAATAAACTTTGACAATCGTAAAATTTAATTTATTACAAGTAGCTAACTATACAAATATAAGATATTACTTAGAATTATTACAATGTTTTTATCTCGAGCCAGAGGACAAAAGTTACAATATAATAACATGTTTATTAATATAATGGTGCATGAAGAGAATATATAGAACAATAATGTGTTTATTGATGTAATATTACTTTAGGTTTTCGTTTCTGGAGCGGCCAGTATAGGTTCCTTTCATAATGTACATGTCCAGTTGCAATAATAAAACTTTATGGTTATTGTAGGCGTACTAATTGCGTCAGCAAGTAGTTACTTACATAATGAGAGCGGAGTGGTTTAGTAGTCCAATATCCTAAGGCTTCTAACATCCACTCGGGTAATCGTCAGGTTCCCTAATTGTGATAATCGGAGTCTGTTGGAACGTTACCCGCATTCAGAAAACATGACGTCTTACAGACGTATGCTACTAGATTAATTCATAAAATGTGAATTGGAATACTGTGTACCGTATATTAGATGATACAAAAAGGAACTTTAAACCTGTTATTATTGTTAGTTTATATTTCCGATATTATAGAGCTTCCGCAACAATTGTTTTGATTTTTCCAAGATACAGTGTGGCGAATAGCTCTCTGGCGAATGTCCACACATGAAGACTTCCGGAAGACGGAAACATGATGAATAGTAAGTTCATTAAATAAGCTATAAACATGTTAGAGTAACATGAATTGAATGAGTTTGATAATTAAGATAGAGCTTCTATGAGAAATAACGATATATTTAATATTAGTTTGCTCAAGTATGGTTAGTGATATACGATTTCAAGTGAGTGTATAGTATGTCTTATATCTTAGTATGTCACTAAATAACGATCAATACACAACAGTTGCTCAGTTCTATTTGTCAGAATGAACATATTTAATTTGTTAAGGTGAATATCTTGAGAATGGTTACTCAGCTCTTATACATTAGTTCTTGGGAATTAGTGGATTTCTGAGAGTAGTAGTAGTAAACAACATTACCTGCTGAATGGTATGAATTATGTGATTGTTATTTAGATTTAGGTTAGACTATGATGTACATACATCACATAATGATACTGAATTTCAATTGTAGTCAATGTCGCCATATATAAAAAAATCTTATAACCCATATGTGTTTTATATTAATATATAAATAAAGAGTGGTACGGCTGCATGTATTTCTAATATAGTTGAAGAAGGTTACGTGTATACTCATAGTAGGTAAATGTATTTAAATACACAGATCCGGGCTACAATTATAAAGACATATAGAAATTTATTTTTCATAAATAAATATGCAATATATATTACTTGATGTTTTAAATATTATGTTAGCATAGTTATTATGGCATTTATTTATTTCATTGTATATCAATGTTTCTTAACAACATCATCTTTTCTTAATGTACGTACCTACAGATTTTTATAACGATACCAAAAAATTACTTTAGCATGTCTTATGACTACTAAGTACACATATTTTGTTAGTTACGATATGCTCTACGTTTATATTACAAATAGCGTTTTGTTTCCCAATTGTTTTTCTTATATTTCTACTATAATAGCTACAAATTATAATACTATACTTAATATAAGTACATATAAATTAATTTTCTTTGGCCACTTCTACATATACTAAAATTTTGTTATTAAAGTAAATATTATATATTAACTAGATCTTTTAATTATATACAGAAATATATTACTTTATTTAACAATAACCTTTCTTACATACAGTATATTGTATATACGATAATAATTGTTTTTCTACCTGTGTCCGGCGGAATTAGGAATTAATTTTTACTGAATATATATGAGTTACATTTTTCAATACATCATATACTATTTTATGAATTTATTTATTATTTATTTAATAGATTCTGTTATATGGATAGTTTTATTTACTCTTGTCTACTTATATTACATCAACAAATAAAGTCACGGGCACAGCTAGTCATAAATCAGTATATTTACCTAGTAATTAAAGTAGATATCTTTAGTAACTGCGATGAAATTTTATTATAACTTAATTATCTGATGAGATATTTTTCAATGAGTGCTCAATGAGGAAAACTGATTAATTTTCCTCATTGGAACCAATACGTAACTGGTTATATTCCAGAAACTAATATTATATATTTTTTATGCAATACGATAATGTAATTTCCTTGTAGCACATTAAAATAGAGACCAAATTAAATTATTATACCCTAAAATCCGGTTACTTATTTAAAAGTAATATATTCATGTAAACCCCAATATCAACTTGATCACATTGAAATGAAAATTTTATTTTGATGACTATGTTATTACGAATACACATCTATGCAATGTTGTAACTTCAAGAAATAAGAATATAGGAATTCGTATACTTAGACCTAATTATGAAAGATTCATTAATGCTTTATTTCTGTACATTTTTTTCGTTCTCAGGAATAAGACTGATTAGATTCGTACTTGAATAGTCTATAACTTACTCTACTACGCACGTTCACGTTTGCTACGCCACAATATAACAATATCTTCCTTACAGTAGTACAACGCTTTTAAAGTCAGGCTGTTTAACATAAATTGTGATTACGTGCAGTGGTTACTAACATCACAGATAAGAGAATATCACAGAGTACAACAAATGTGTTCGATCTTTTTATTTAATTGGAATGACACACGAGATAACATCCCAACGAATGGTAAGTAGTAACCATTGTCTATAACATGAATAGTACTATAAATATCATGGTACCACGACTTTGATACCACTTATACGTTGCTATTTCGGAGGACTAAGATGTCTCTTAAGAGATCTCTTATCTTGTAATTTCACCCTGCAACCGAAACATAACTAACAGAGCATGGGTGGCTTAAATAGGTGTATCCACCTACATTACATCTACATCCTATCGGATGTAGATTCCTTTTTAAAAAGTCTACCTCAGTTGCTGTTGGACAAACGGCAAATATTATTTGTTTATTGTGCCTACATAATGCGCTGAACACGTTCTCACAAACAATTCCATTCTTACACTGTTACTATAAGTATATTCGTTGTCCAATATGGATTGTAAAACTGTGGTACTATATATGTTTTTGTTAATAATTAAGCGGTATACAATGTATTTTCACCTTCCTAGCGTGTATACAAGTCATTATATATTCAGTTGCGTTTTTATGACGTAGTTTTCATAAAACAACGATTTGTGACTGAATCATTTACAAATTTCACACCTAATTAATAAATAGTTCATAATCATATTTGTTTTGCAAAATATATTTAGTGAGTTATGGATACACAACACACATTCAAAGTAAGCTATACCAGTACATTATATTATGTAGTATGTACAGTATATATATATATCACTAGGTAGTGGTAATCAGTCAACAAGCATAATAATAATAATTTAATGAAACAAATACTTCTAATTTATGTATTTTAACAACCTACTCAACTATAAATAAGTCTCTAATTTATAGTATTAGTTATCGTACTAGAAGCTTCTTCAAAGTTAGCTGTTACCGGAAACAGTCCATTTGATGTTGATTTCTGTTCACTAGAATTTTGGAGGATATTATTTATGCCTTGGAAGTTAGCGTTACAGAAAGCGACAGGTGTAGATTTATTTTCAAGTGTAGAAATACCGTAGTCCATTGTAGTTTCAATTCCAAGTGTAGAAGGATAGAGTAAGGCGGGAGAGGCAGATGACGCTTCCGGTAGGGCGTCTTCTTCGGGCAAAGTACGCAGGCGCGAGAGCCTCTCCCGCCCCTCGCCTCACACAGGCGATTGCTCACCGCTTGCACTACCGCTCGTGATGTAATCCTGCGCAATTGACAATAATTTAAGTTAAACAAAGACATGTAAAATTTGACATCTAATCGTTTAATAATGTGTATATTTCAAATTAAACTTTCAAGATCATTATTTAAACCTTATATTCAATTGTATGTTATATTTGATTTAGGTAAATTAATTAGGTACTCGATGACATTTCATATTGAAATAAATTACAATTTTATTTATAATTTAATATTTGTATTAACGTTTAATTATAATTTAAATAACATAAATTATACAGAAAGAAAATTTATTTTTAGTAATATGTAAGCACGCTTACAAGCAGAATAATTAGTTTCAACTTTGCAACGACTCACAAAAATTGTGGATCTTAATTTAACTTCCTTGGCAATTTAGTATAAAGTTACGTTAGTTGAATAATATAATAAAATCAATCCTGATATCATTGTTACCTTTATGTACTTACAGCATGGAGATGCCTCCCATCATAGTGTAGGGCGAGCGAGGTCCTGGGGACCAGGAGTGTGGTGGTAGTGGTTTCTGATGCTGCAGACTCTCTCTTTGAAGGGTGGCTGTATAAACTGTAGTTACCATTTTTGTTATTAACGATGATGTAAATAATTTTAAGATTAACAAAAAATATATCACTTTTTATTATTTTTATTTAAATATTGATTGCAGTCGGCCATTACAGCTTCATCGGATGAAAGTGAGGCGACTGCAGGGGGCACTCCAAACCACCTTTTGAAGTGGCTAAAGCCCAACACTTGTCTGCGAGATACGACACGTTTCCGTTTGTCTATTTATTGCGTTTATACCGTTACTATGTATGTATATTAGTGTCGTTTAAAAATAACTTTCTATCTTTCTTTCTCCGCTTTTTCCTCTCTATGTTCATTTTAATACTACATAGACATATTGTTTTTGTATCTATCCACTCTGTGGTAATTCTTTCAATAAAAGTGTATTTTAAAACTATAGATTTTAATTCACTCTTGTCATATTATTAATGTTACTTAACATTATTTACTTTATGGTACTCCATGATATTAATAATCATTTGGTGTATTCTGTATTTTATGTAATTAGAAAAAAGTATTACTTTTAAGCATTAACTATCACTATAGAATTGTTTAATTTCTATATCATTATTGAGTACCGATCACATAAGTTTATTTTAATTTTGATCTAAAGGGTACAGCCTTTCAACAAAGTTATTTTTTTATTTATTAGTCGAAGATAAATATTATATACTAAGTTGCTATTTATTACTTCACTACTAATATCTAATAATACCATATAACACTAACAAAGGAATATTTTATGCAAGACTAATTTATTATTGAAGAAAAGTGAAGTAATTTTGCATAGATACTGGAGTGTCGTGTACTCTCTTCATAGAATAATACCTCAAAGTACATATACTTATTTTAAATATATACTATTTATACTTCTCTACTACTAAGAAGATATCCACTTCCATCTTCAGATAGGTTAGTATTTACGAGATAATGCGTTCGTTATAAAAATTGAATTTAAGTTTGCGAACAAGATTTGGTATTCATTTATCATACAAATGAAGTAACGACGATCCAATTTGAATTACGCTCAATGGAAAGGGATAACAAGATTCGTTATATTCAGTATACACAACCCACGTCGACTGTCAATAGATATGCAAATATATTACACATTTCTCATGGGATTGCTTTTTAGACTCACCTGCCTTAATGTTACGAATCAAGAATTTTAAAATCCAGCAGTTGTCTGACACGATATGAAAGAACGTATATTGCATGCAGTTTCACTTTGTATTTTTACAAGTTTTACACACTGTTACACTTTAGAAATAAATACAGGAGACATCAAGAAGATAGAAAAACTATAACATTTTACTTAAGACTTGAAATTAGTTGTACAACAAATTTATTCTGGCTGTTTTGAAGAAACTGAAATAAAGCACCAAAAGTTTTTATTTGACTATTATTACTTGTATTGTTATTTGTATTCATGATGCCGATGGAATAATACTATGTATATAATTTAAAATATAGGCATAGTTTAATATCATAGACAAATAAATTGTTATAGATCAGTTGATTTCAGTTATTCCTACAAATATTTGCAACATGCATTATCCGCATACTTACTTACATACAAGTCATAAAAGACGGCAACATTTTGAAATAATTAATCAAAAAGATACATTAGAACATAACGAGGTATTTGTACAGACTATTGGAAAGCATTGGCACATTAATGAAAATAAAATAAGTTAATTAAAGCGAATTACACATTGATTTATTAAAGTAACAAAAAATAAAACATATCCAAATCCACATTACATCCGTTTCTTTAATTTCTTCGTAAATGCAATAAGTCCATTCCAGTAAGCAAATTCGTTGAATCTTATCCAGAACTGACTCTTCAGGCTTCTTCATACTGTGAGCCTAATGGGAAATAAAAATAGACGATCAAATATGGATTTGGAAGGATACGGTACAAGCAAGAGGTACAAAGCGTGGAGTTAGGCAAGAATTTCCAATCGCAGTGCTACAGGTAGGGTCTACACAAGGAGCAAATATTGAAACAAATAGGTACATCGTGCAGACAAAATGTTTACATTGACTCACAATGAACTATTTATTAGAATTCTCCATCGAATTTGTTCTACTAATTTAAACAAAAATTAATCGTTTGATGACAACTTCACTGCTATTCTTAACAACCTACATATATAAATATATGAAGTCAACTTACCGTATACTTTCGGTTCTGGATCTCGGAGACCAGTCCTTGGAGTAGGAGGTACCTCTTCTTCGCCCTCCACCAATAGTTCTGCCCGTCTTCCATCGCTCGACGTGATAGCCGATCGCATGACGAACTTCTGTATTCATGAAGCAGTAGAAGAGGGCTACTGTGAAACCCTGTTGAAATTTAACATCTATATGATTATGGGAAATAAAAATTTGTACATCATATTACGAAAATTAGGCAGACGGTGGAGAATGAAATTTGGCTCAGTTAAACGTTATATAGATATGAGGTATAGATAGTTAATATTTATTAATAATGTTTAAAAAATACATTATATTAAAAAAAAAACTTACACACACTACCATGTGTTTGACACACATGCAAACATAGTAGAGTGTGTATAAATTTAGTCTTGATAATAGAAATATCGTTAAAACTTAAAATTTAAATTATTTATGGTCGAACATTGACTGCTAAGCGACCATTATTGAAGACATTATTAATATCATCTAGTTTCTGTATTCTCATCAGATTTGGACTCCGTCTTTTCTATTAGTGCAAGATGGTGCTAAGTGGAAATATAGAGGATTATCCGGAGGGTAGATACGTAATACAACAACAAACTACAAGCATTAAGTATCGGTTTAAAGAAAGTTGGTTCGAAGCACTTTGAAGAACCTTTTAAAGATATATCCTCCTCTATTGCGACAGTATTAAGTCTGTCAATAGAAATAGCTCAAGTTTTCTTTGTAAATACAAAGATTGCTTTCAGATATTATATTATAAAACTCAAACATTTTTCATAATATATTTTCATTAAAAAAACCTCTATTGAAATTGTTAAACTCATAGAATATTTGATGTGGCCTAAGCCCTAAACGGATCCGCTAATTATTTATTAAAAATACCTGTGAAGACCCTTTATACTCCCCAAGCTATACTATAATCACGCCTAAATAATAAGAGACGGCTAGTTACCACATCACTCAAATTAAGGTCAGAATTGTTACTAGATTTTGTTGGAAATGTGAATATATTCGCAAGCGGATATGTTAAATTTTTAAACTAGAACAACATAACGGATCTCCTTCATGAAATTGATATATTTATATTAATAAAGTATTTATTAATGTAAAATTACAAAGAGATTTTTATTATACAGCGAGCATAATTAAAACATTTTAAAAAATCTACAATTTTCACTCTACAATTAACAGAAACCTTTAATTATTTGTTTCTAGGACGAAACCCGTATATATCTTAATAATAATATAAACCTAAAAGTTTGTAAGTATGGATGTTTGTTAATCACGTAAAAACTACTCAACGAATTTTGATGATACAGTAATATAACTTATGCATCAGAATAGCACATAGGCTATATTTTTTAATGTAATATAACATGGGTGAAATCATGGGCACAGCTAATCTCTGTATAAACCTTTAAGTATGATATCTATTTATAAGGGTGTTGGTTGAAAGTCAAACGAAGCAGTTTCTTTGAGAAGAGTGAGTAGCAACAGTGTGACGTTGCACGCTTGCGGTCTCTCATTTCAACAAAAGTTAATTTCGTAATAAAATATTACTGAGGTAAGAAGATTACAGTTACGTAATGAACATCTTTTTCTGTATAAATAGTTAATAGAAGCATTAGTGTTTCTAATTTCTAAATATCTGTATTGCTTAAAGTTATATGTTTATACAACGATATTATTTGTATTGCTTTTATTTTTGTTTTGATTGAGTAACTAATAACAATATAAACAAAAAAATATATATTATTTGATAGCGCAAGATTGTATATTTTTTATCTAGTCTGTATAGTGGAAACAAATGGAGGACCAAATTACTTTCATAAAACTGTAAATATACCAACTGTTGTTACAATTGCAAGACTATGAACTCACTACTCACTACAGGTAAGTCTGTTATACAGACTACATAGATAGAAAAGAGAGACTAGAGACAGAAGAAATTATGCGATATCAATATTTGTTATTGAAAATTGTATTCCTGATTATATATTACATAAATAACCCTGGACAATTAACACAGCGCCATCTAGTCCCACGGTATGCAGAGCGTGCGTATTAGATAACAGATGTAAATACTTAGACTTTTTTTAAATATATACATGATATACATATAAAATACCCAGACCAATACAAGCAATTATAGTCATGAATACAAATGTTTGCGCCGAACGAGGAATCGAATCCGCGACCATCGGAAGAAAGGCGGTGTGCTAAACCGCTAGACCACCTAGGTCATCAAATATAATATTATATATGTAACATTTTATTCAAGATTTAAGTTATCTTTGACTAAGCATGAAATATAAATCATATGTAATATTTTGTTAAAAAATCGATTTATCTCCAACTAAGCACGACTAAGCATGGAATATAATAAACATACTACGTAAACATCATATATGAATACGTTTACTAGAGTAAACGTATTCATATAAAGTAGTTGGCGGCTATCGGCGTCTCCCGGGATTACGATTATTGTTATTTGATCTATCGACCCAGCATGTTAGACGTCCTCTAAATCAAAGTTATATATACGCTGTTATTAACACACAAGACTACGTTAATTGCGTAGACAAGAACTAAGTGAAGCAAAATGATATTTGTGTGATTGGTTTAAGTCACTTTAATATCATTGATCAGGTCAAGTTATATTTAAAAAAAAAAATAGCATTTATTATTCCGGTAATACGTTTGCTTAAAGGCACTAAGTTACAATATTTTATTACTATTCTTATTGACAAATATATATTGTACGACATTTCAATGGAAGCATATTGTGTGGTAATTATTGCGCGGCAAAATTTGTGAAATTAGGTTCTATTAATCGATACTAACATTATTAAGGCCAAATTATATGAGGCTGTCTGTTACTTTAGCACAACTAATGGCTAAACGTACTCGTACCTTAATTAAATTTACACGAGGACAGACATCGATATCTTTTGATCTCAAAAAAGTAGACGAATATACTAAATGATTTCACATACTATTTAATTATTTCTTCTCATCATTGAGTAAACGTGACTCTAAATTATAATCCCAGATAGGGATATCTTACGAAAGACAAGACAAGCTAACAGTGTAAAAAAGTGCCAAACGATCAAACCATTTGTCTGCCTACTCTCCAACGCTTTTATGATTAATTTAAATTTCAGTAGGTATCTTTGTGAAATTTGAAACTACGACCTTATTGGGAGAGGAAAACGACTGTCATTTAATTGTGGGAAGTAAGAATAAATCAATATTGTACAAGAGGCAACCCCTGCTTCTTAAACCCTTGTTTGAATCTTAATATAATTGTATAGATATATAAATACTACGAGAAATTGAACATTGAAGACGTCAAGTCCTTCAAGATGTTAGAAGTGCGTAAAATCTATATTTTATATGTGTCCTAGCTTTAAAAAAAGCATGTCTTTGTAATAAGAAATCTGTCTGCAATGATAAAACATTTTGTAAGATTACTATTGAAGCAATCGCAGCATCGATTAGCGCAGAATTGGAGAAATCGTTTTAAAAATAAATACCGACGGTTGTATAAAGAACATACTTCTAAAGTTGTATGATTATTATTAATATCTTCATCAGGTAAGTAATTTATGAATTGATTATGTGATTAATTATTTACGAACCGAACTGACAATTAATAGAGCTGGGGCAGGTCGCAAATTGGTTATAATATTGATGGTAGGGATACTGATAAAAATATTCACATGCAAAAATATCTTATGTATGTAGAAGCGATTATCGTGGAATACGGGCTACATTTTGTTTCTTTTTATAATTAGAGAATCCTTGTCAAAATTTACTAGCAAGTTATAATAAAAATTACCCTATGCTCAAATAATGAGGTCAGCTCGGACGGCCCGAGCCGAGGACGCCGCGCCGTTCCAATGGTATATTTCCAAAGGGGGCTGAAAAAGGAAACAATGGAACAATCTGACAGCGTCATTCATATGAGCCGTCCGACTATTAACGGAAACGTGTGAAGTCTTACCTGTGTAGATAACATGAGCGCCCGAGTGTAATCGAAGGCGTGAGCGAACCACGACTCATCGTTGGGTCCACACAATACTAATAAGTTCGTGATGCCCAGCAGTGGGATCAGGACGAGAAGCGCCTTCGTTGCCTTCCTGTATTGCTCTGTTTCTAGCGTATTTGCTGAACGGAGCTTTGTTATTAGAACCTGTGCCAAGAAATAAATTAGGTTAATTTATTTGATATATTAGCCAATTTATCAAGTACCTAGGTTAATTTTTATAAGTGAAGATATTTATAAAAATTAACTTACTTGATAAATTCATGACTATAAATATTTTGGAGTTCACATACAGGTCTCATTTATTTAGATCTTTTTAAAAACATACCTTCATGACTATTATTATCAATGGAGTAGTTATTATTATAAAGGCATTGTCAACTGTTGGTGTACTGGTCATTGCAATATTATACGATAAATATATAAAAAAAAAGTCGTCATATATTTAGCTTTTCGAATATCGACTACCTACTGTAATATTAAACAAGAATTATGTTTTAAACAACTTGTTAGGGTTAAAGATAATATTGCATAAGTTAAATTGTTCTGTAGAACATTTATTGAATCCGTCTGCTCATTACGTAGAAACAGAGTTGAGAAATCGGTATAGTCATTAAAAGTTCTTAGGAATGATCAGACTTTTGTAATATTCTCTGTTATGTAATTACATTTACAAGGAAAACTTTTTAATATACATGTAATAAACCGAGTATAATTTTTTCACCACACAAAAAAATAAATGACAAAATTCTTTTTTTATATGAGGAAAAAATTACTATAGGTATTATTGGGTTATTATATAGTTATTATATATTTGGTAATGGAAACTAGTAGCTCAATAGCCAGCACCAAATCTTTTCGTGGCTCTCTTTGGAAACATTGTGGTTATTTCTTGGTACATTTAGCTTGATGGGCTTACTGACTTACTTTATACTTATCCTGTCATTTTCCACTAGGATATACCGTTAGCGCAGGTAGATGCAATATTTGATTATGACTCAAAATTACACTCACCCACATAATCCTGACGAGGAAAAACAGATTGAGGGCTAGTCCAGCTAGTGCTGGGGCCTTATGGATCCAATCCACTTGGTGCTCATGCATCCATATACACATCTTCGTTTCACCAGAAAGCGCCAACTGGATACAATAGTAAATTTTATATACAAATACCAAATCAAAACTGACAACTAAGAATAGATTTGAGGAACCGGAAAAAAAATCCTTGTTTCAATTTTAACGACAATTACGTACTTATGATGAAAATGTTATGGCTAGGCCATTTTTTTAATACGTACGGATTAAACGAAACATACGAGTATTATGAAAATAGATACGTTGAAGTATCAAGTTTTATTAAAAAGCAGTATTTGTACATGTCATGTCGAGATTGTTATTAGAGTAGAAATTTACCCAATATTACCCACTTAATTTAAATAGCTAGGTACTCCAGAAAACTATACATAATAAAAAGAATGATAAAATAATGTCAATAGGAAGTTGTATAATAATGAGGAAATGCAAATACGACCCATTTGGCTCTATTATTATATAATCTCATATTTCTAATTTATTTTAAATTATTGTTGTTAATATAAATTCACTTAAATTTAGTTAAGTTTAAATTAAGTTGATAACAATGTACGCTTACGAATTTCGTTCTACATGTGCTTATGTTTCTGCAAATTTCAAGACTCTGGAATATTTTTTTATTACTAGCCAGTTACTATGGTGTTGAAAGGTCATAACTTTTTATGGGCTATACGCTCATGTTGCCTGCCTTTACCTTAGAATTAATTTTAACTAGATATTTTACACCTTAGTGTTGACAACTTTTACAGTATCTATGAGACTAATGAAACAAAATTATATAGTAATTTTATTCTTACTCCATCAGGTCCAGTAGATGTCACAATGTTTACGAAACATCTCGATATCATCCATATTGTAATAAAAACAGCTGGGGCACCTGGAAATTTGTTGTTTAATTTATCATAAGAACTTTTGAGATTATATCAATTTATTTACAAAAGTTATAATGAGGTATTTGTTTGAAAAGGTCTAATATGACATTTCTTAAAATATTATGCCTAAAATTTGTTTCGTTTGTCAATTAATTGACTTAATAGCACGAACGGAACGCTCCCATGAATTTCGCAGTGAGATAATTGGCTGCGAGTGATTGAGAATTTAAAAATTTCTTGATTTTTTCTCTCATAAATATGAATTTGTTCGTTATTTTTTTATTTTTACACTTTAGCGCATAGTAGATAGATCGTATTTCAAAATAAGTAAGCATTATTAAAATTTCGAATCTTCTAGGAGTTAAACACAAACAAAAACAGTTAGTATTTGAAATATATATGTGATGTATAATAAAGATAGTGTAAAATATTTTTTACTTATTAAAATAAATGCATTTAAATTACTTACCCCAACCAATAGTGGTATATACTTTTAGTTTAATATTTTCAGCAGTGAACGTTTCAACCACTAACATATATAAGTATAAACCTGCAACAAAATGGACATGTCATAAATAATGTAGGAGTGCTAATGAATAATGAATGTCAATAGTTGCTTAGTTTTATATAGATTGTTTAGTGCAAAAGGATGCTTTGTTCGATGAAAGGACCTTAGATGTTTTCAGAACCACTAAAATAACAATTCATCTACATTTTATATTAGGAATTTAGGTATTTCGTAACTATACTAAGCATGTTATATAGTTATTTATGTAACTTGTTATGTCGAGATGATTCGTCCGGGTTTATGTCTATATTAGAAGTAGGGCGTTGAAAATTACACAACTACAACAGTATTCCTGAGGGGGCAGTTGGAGGGACGATTGCTGTTACGGAGATTGTAATATTCGACTCGACTTGCCCATATTTCATTACATATATACGATCCAACATTGCTCAGGATGGCTTCACGCTATATTTCGGATAAATCAGTCGTGAGATCAGATATTTGATATCCAATGGAATTAGAACGACAATTGAAATTTTAATGTATATTTTAACATTAAATATGTTATCTATACATTTCATATTTAATAACTTGAACATTGAATGGCAAATATTGATTATTTATATTTATATTGATTAATATGAGTTGATTCAGTTAGTGTAAATTGAAAATTGTGGCTAATATTAGATTTAAACAATAAATTCGAACATCATCTGTTTCATCCTTATTCCATTTATTTGGGGTTGCCGTAATATGTTTTACTCTTCCATTTAATCCTGTTTGCAGTCGTATTCGTCATGGCTCTTACTATACTATACACAGTCCATCCAACTCTTTTTCCGACTTGCTCTGCTCTTATAACCATCCACAATCATATGTAACACTTTCCCGAAAATATTATCTGATCTTCTTCGCAGACTATTCGACAACGTATTGAATTAATCAACATGTAAGTATATCTAAATGTAATGAAGTAGTTAATAGTCGTCTTTTGTTCAAAATATATGCTTTTTGTATGTAAATACGGTAACATGATAAATTATATTATTGAAGAGAAAGTGTTATAGCAGTAGTGTCTAATCGCGTACTGTGCTCTGTAATTACGAGTGTATTGATCGGTAACTTAGTAACCCATTAGGGCGTCACTGAAGTGATCTATCACGTAGAAAATAAACTAATGGATACAAAATAACTTTTACTGATATAATTTCTATTACATGACTTTTACTATCATTATTAAAATTATTTACCCAGCGTAAGAACGAATTTTTATATTTATATGAGCATAACGTTTAGAATAAAAATATTAAACATTTTTTACCCATCTCTATTATCTGTCAAATGTTCAAGAATAAAAAAATATTGTTATCGATTACTTAAAATCTTCTCTGGTCTAACGTTAATTATGCAATGATATACCTACATTAAATTGTTACTAAAAAAAACGATTTTGATTATTAAATATGTTCTAAACTTCAAAAGCAGAAGCAAATGTAATATTTTACATGATTATTTATTTATTACTTTGTTAATACAGGAGAGTTCACGCCAGGCCAAATTGATTGAATAATATACTTTAATAACCACAGAATATGTCGTTTTACATTTTAATGTCACTATTAAATATTCTAAAATATACAATAACTTCGAGTACAGCAGAAGTATTATTAAAATTTTTTGCTACATAGCGTTCACTCTGCCTTTCGCAGAGTTCTGTTGTTTTATAAATAAGAAAGTTGCGTAGAAATAGAGCAACATGATATTATAGTATCAACAGGTTTAAAGTTGAAAGTAAATAGGTTAGCAACTAATAAGAACTTTCTACAGAAAGTTTAAAGCGAAGTTTGCCTGATTTACCGTTAATATCTCATTGCGTGCAACTAGTTTAATACCTAGAGTAACATAATTGTACTTTGACGATGAAGATTATGTTAATGGATTACAAGAATATTTTATATTTATTAATACTTAATGAATTTTGAGAGCTTTTAATGTTAAATTTAATGTAGATACTTACCTACTTCAAAAGTCAAAGTTTCCTAATGATACTTATTTATAAATGTTGAGTCATTTAATATTATATGTAGGTATATAAGTACATCTTTGCATTAATGTATCTACATTATGAATATAAAGAAAAAGAAAAATTCACGTAATTTTAAAATTAAGATTTCCTGTAGAGTTTCAATAGATATTTTACTATTTCAATAGACAATCTGCGTAAATTATATAAATCAAATTTCAATTATATTATTTTATGTTATACATCAGTCATGTGTATGAAAATGTAACAATACCTACTTTTTTGCAATGTACGTATGTTAGTTCTTGTTGTTGGGTTTTAATAGATTTACTATGCTATTCTTATTTCTATTCATAATGCCTTCTTATATTTGTGTATTTTAAAAGTTTATTTTATACTTGATGTTACCGGCATCTTTGTTTGCTAGTTTTTAGACAAATATACTGAATGTCCATATTTAAGATATAATATTTTGTAAATTTATTAAGATCCGTGTCGTGTAAATTTATTAAGTATAGCCGTGTAAAAGTAGCAAAACAGAAAGACAGACAGATGTATTTTAGCATTCATAGTATTAATGTATTTTCTGTTAAATATGTAATTTATTATACATAAATTATTTAAGAAAAACTATAAAAACGATTAAATTTTAAAATTATAATATCACTAAATATTAATATAGACCTGCGTCTTTCCAATAATAACTAGATATATTAATAGTTCTAGGAAAAATATATTCCTCATACTTCTAAAAGATTTTTATCAAAAGATATCTAAAGGAAAAATCCTGTAATTATAAAGACTTTACTGAGGATTACCGGAAGAGGTTCGTTTTCAAGTTTGAAATGCAAGCATTCTGATTTTATCTTATTGTGATAGATAGATATAAAGAGCCAATAAACAATACATATTACCTAAATAATAAGTAATACGAAAATAATTTATATAAGTCATATACAATGACTTATATAAAATAAAAATATTTGTCATTTTTTGTACTGTATATATACGAATTATATATATATATTAAGTTATAAACACAAATTAATAATGAAAAGTATAAGATTCTCTTAAAAATTGTAAATAATTGTATTTACATGCAAATACTATTTATTAATTACTATGTATGTCATAAACTAACATAATTCCAGGCGTATGAATGCGATACTGAGTTAAAGAAATTTTAATGCCTATTTTGTTTTCATTTAGAGAACCAAGAATAATTAACATTACATAATTACATTGCCTACATTACGCATAAAAAATATTATTTTTATAATAGCTTTAATAACGAAGTAAATTTCAGATTATCATTGTTTTATAAATGTTTATTTTGATGCATGTTTGTGACAGCTCTGAAAGGGCGTTTCACAAAATGTCGGACGATACTAATAAATTGTTTATCTACTATTTTTAGAAGTAGGCCGTCTGAGTACATATGTGTTTGTTTAGGTCCTCTTTTTATCATAACATATGTATTTCATATATGTCAATTTGTAATTGTAGGCTTTGTACACTTCACTTGCATATTTCTGTTTTCTATATTTCTATTGGCCATTATTTTTTATTGTTTACAGTAAATTAATTATATATGTACATATATAACGTATTAGTAAATTAGTAGTAAGAATGGGAACCCGAAAGAAATGGCAAAATGTATTTTCTTGATATTGCCGTTTAACACTATCATTTGTATAAAATATGGTACAGAGGCAGGACGCCGTAGAACAAACAATGGCAATGTATGCGGAATACCACGGTCGTTATGTTACGACCTTATATCAAAGATGTAGATCATGATTAAAGACTTTGTTTGCCACTCTCTATTTATATAAAAAAACTTACCTTCTACAAGCATCCAAAAGAAGTTTGTTAGGTAAAAGTAGTGCATACAGATAACTAAGATCATACATGACGTTTGATCTTGCTGGGCCTCGTCTGACCAATTCTGAAAAACAGAAAATAATTAAGATTTTTTTAGATTAACACTAATCCCTCATTCCAAGGCATAAGTATCCCACGGTATTTTTTTTATTACGTATATATTACATGTGTAAAATGTAAAAATAAGATTGACATTACGAATCAATAAGTTATTAGTAATTAATTATCTAATATTTCTTTCAAGTTTATGTTTGAATTATTATTTGCATTATTTTTAGTTTAAATTCAACTTAGTTTAATTTTGAAAGTATATTAAAAATAATCATACGTAATATTCCGAAAAAGTACAATGAATTAATATATTTACATCTAGAGAACACTACAGGTTGAAAGGGTCATGTCCTAAATTAAATAATAAATGAATAATTTAAAAGTATAATCTAAAGCAAAAAGAGACGTTCGAGTTGAAATTTTTAACAAGTTTAATAATTTATGATCGTTTAATCATTATCTAAGTAAGGGTTAATTTAGTGGTCACGTATTAACGTCGTAAATGTCAGCTACTGTACTAAAGAATACGTCCTCTGTAAATATTGAAATTTTAATACGGATAATGTACGTACATTTTAAATTACTTGTATTTTAGTACTTTGTACCTACTGTAATTTAGTTCACTACATAAACAAATAGTGACCGAAAATTGTCGCTGAATAATTAATTGGTCGCTAACTGAACGCAACTTCTCTTTTTTTCTTCACATATATTAAACTAAATAATCATTAATATTTAAAAGTATACTTTATAGTAACTAGTTGGCTAGTAAGTAAAAACATACTGCAAATGCACAATCAAACATATTTTCTAATAAATAAAATTAAAATGTTACCTGCAACGCTAAATTTAAGATCCAACTACATGCTGATAAAATATATGTGGACATTAGATTTGTATGTATTGTGTTCCTTAGACATCTTAAGTCCCTGAAAAAAAAGTATAATTAGTACTGCGGAAACCGTAAAATATTATTTAACTGTTGTTTGTACTTTGAATTATAGAAATGAAATGAAATGACTTCGGACTATTCAAATACTGCTGGCCGCAGCTGTTCTTTACAGCTTCACCGGACGATAGAGGGCGAGTGCAGATGGCACTCCAAACCCGTGAAAGGACTTATGGAGTTGCTGAAGGCTAACTCCCGCCTGACGGACGACTTGAGTCTGAGGGCAACGCTAGAGGTTCGACCTCGGCTCAGGCCGTCGTAACTTCGATCCCTGTTTGTGTTGGACAGAGGATCGATCGGAGGGACGGTACTAACAGTCTGTATTTTCTGTAAATACTCTTCTAAACCACGGAACAGATTTTAATATATATTTTTCTATTTAAAGAACTTCTTTCTCTAAATGTTACATTACTACAATACATGGAGATAGTTATAAGACTATAGGTATACCCATGCTGGGGCGGATCGCTAGTAGTTCAATAAAAGTCACGAATGTTATCATCATAATTTTCCTGATAGCTCTTTACTGCGTAATAAAAAATATTTCATTCATCTCTATTCACATTTATTTCAGTATTCATTGACATTCTATCCGTAGCATTTTCTAGTTCATCCAGACATTGCTTAGGCACGAACCACAAAAAATAAAAGGATACGTCTCTGCGCAGAATACATAATAGTTCAAAGAATATATCTAAAACTATAGCTATTACCCGCGATTTGGTCTGGACAAATTTTCACTCATTATTTCATCTCCTGGATTGTTTTTGGGATAAAATATATCTTACATCCTCGTGATATAATCCAATGTCCATAACAAACTTAATAAATAATAATAAATAAACTTAACCCTAAGCAGAGCTTGTTTTATGGTTGGGTACTAGACAACTGATATAAATACATAAATATTTTCTTTATAAATACATACATACATAACATGACGGACATAAACAATCATACTAATGAATACAAACGTTACTGTCGTGTGAGGAATTGAACCCGCGACCATCGAATGTAAAGCGGTGTGGTAAATCACTACACCACCGAGGCTGTCATTGTCACACAATGAATATACCTATATTTCAGCGCAGTTTAGAAGCTGTGTTTCATGAGATATTTGTCACATTACAATGGACTGTATTTGTAAATATTTTAATAACAATATTGACAGTTTTATTTTTAACTTTCCACTAAAATAGTCTGTGTTGTTAATTCTTATTTTATGGTGTTTCACGTTCTATAATCGGCGTAAAAACTGAATCAATCTGAGATATCTCTTTTTATAGCAATAGTAAAGGATTTTCGAGACTCAAGAGCCAATTATGACGTTAGTCGAACGTTATTACCTATAATTTTACTATCGACTTCAATGCCTCAATTTAATAGCTTTTATATATATATAATATATATATATATATCTACACAATATTTATGGAAATTATTTAAAAAAAAAATACTAACTCCATTTGCAATCGATAAGGTCTACGCTTGAGTTATTTAAAATGTTTTGCTATGTAAAATATTGACAATTGAAGTCAGCTTCGTGCAACAAAATTGTCTAATTGAATATGATCTTTTTTAATTGCATTTTTCCATTCGAATAATACGAAGTAGATATAGCGTATCTGTCTATTCAAATAGGACATTGTAGCCAAATATTGTTTTTGTATGTTACTACCATATCCATACCAATCCGCAACCAGATTGGTAATCTGCAGAATTTGCCAAGCAGAAGAGGAAACGCTACTACACAACCTAACATAGGTTGTGTAGTAGCCCACTCATCCATAAATGAAATATCTCCTTTGGAAGGTATACACTCTATCCTGAGGAGATAAAAACCATCGCTCTTAACCATCTCCTTCAATTCTTGTCCCTCATAGGTCTAGGCTGCGAACTTTGAAAAAGGGCGAGCACAATAGATCTATGTAGGTCGATGTACCATAGGTGTAAGCACCTGACAATAGCCCAATACCCCCAATAAAAAAAAGTACTACCATATCACCATAAATTACAAATATTATAAATTAGCTATAACTTGCACTTTTTTTTTGCTTCAAACTTGCACTTTTAACTTTGAACTTTTTGGGGCTTAAATAAGGGTTATTTAAACCCCAAAAAGTTCAAAATTTGGTACGTCTTGAGTTGTATTCATCCTAAGATCGAATATTGATAATGCCTCTAACTACAACAGCAGGGATAACAGTAGTAAAGGTATATCATTTGTTACACTTTACACATACACACATTACACTTACTTAAAATATAAAAAAACGAAAACGGCAAGCGAAAGGACGGCCAAACTGAGAGAGTAACCCGCCAAATATATGAGGCTGGTGACGTCTGTCGGTGATATATTGGCGATCCTTTCTGTACAGTTGTCGTAATCTGAGTGGTTGTACCATATGCCATTTGCCTGGCAAATCCTTGAGGCGTTTTCTGAAATAGAAAATATTTGATGAGTGCACGGAAGAGACATAGAACTTTTTAGCTTGCTCTGCTTTGGATACGGGTTACTGTTAGATTGTCCAATATTTTATATCAATCTACTGGTAAAGAAAATATCAATATTGATAAAGCATTTTTTAGTTTACCTCTATAGACAACCCATAAATTCATCGACAAAGTGTTACATATATTGTATACCAAGGTGTTGGAGCAGTCACAAATTTGTAAGTCCCACCTTCTTTTTTAATTGCCTTTTTAATTTCACTAAATCACTTACATTTTTTATTCATATGGATCATTGTATTCAAATATTTTTATTGTATGTTACTACCGTATCACCATATCTAGCATATATTATGAATTAGCTATAACTAGTAATATTTTTCAGTTTCCGTCTAAGAAAAATTCATCAACATTGTGACATATGTATAACATGGTTTTAGAGCAGTCACAAAGTTGCTGTAAAAAATGGTGAAGTCTGACAGAAGTCCCATCATTTCGGTGCTCTTATATTTTGTGAGGTCACGTCAAATTTAGTATTAAAACACGAAATTTTAATTATTAAAATGTGACGGGGCGGGTGAGGGAAGGTAGGGGTGAAGGTTTCAAAATAACGTACGGATGATGATGATGACGTAATTTATGGATTACAAATAAAACAAATGAAATGTAGGACAGGTTTGATTTTGATTAAAATGTTAGATAATATAACATATTAATTTAATGTTACAAAATATAGCTATTCAGTAATTTTTTTCATACGTACCGAATTTCAGCATAGCTATTAAATATTATTTATATATTATAATATTTCACTTTCTTATACTTTATGATATTATGTTATGACATATAGATGTTTTATATAGCTATTAAAATAGAATTAAAAGTAGGAGGCGCTTCAAAAATTTAGAACTAAGAATCACGGTTGTAGTTTGTATTTTTGCAATTTTGTGGAATGTGATCATGGCAAGAGATAACTAAAAACAGACATAAAATATTTTTAAAGTGAGACAGCAATGACAAATTAGATGTAGATGTATACGTACGCCAAATAGGTTCGTATGTATATATACATATAGTTAAATAGACCCCGTTTGCTTCCTCCATATTCATGGATACATTAGGAAATAATTCACTTGCAAATATTAGTTTCATAAATAAACTGCATATGAACGAGTTTGTAATTGTGTTTATTATTTGGTTATACATTGTATTGCATTAGTTACAATAAATAAACCCTATATTTGAAGGAGTAGGCAACTATATATTTTTATTCAAACCACAGTTTTATCACTAAAAAATACTTGTAGAATAATAAGTACAATAATAACATTTGATATATTTCAATCTAATACGACCAGGTGTGTGTTACGGAGTAACTATTCTTACTTTATCACCAATTTTTGTTTTTTAAATGACAATCTATTAATCACTGAGAGAAAACAATAAGTATGCGTTTTTTTTTAGAATTTCATATTAATTACATGTAATACGACGTGCAGTGTACCTTGCAATTTTTTGTTGTAGTTTTCAGCAAACATTAAGGAACATCACATTGTTTTTATAATTTCCAAAACAAACCGAAATTGTGAAGAAAGATATTTTAAAGTATACTTTTATTTTATTGGGCTTAATTATTTTACACAAAGCTTCTATATACACAATATACGTATCAATTAATATTTTTGAGGAGACTAAACATCTGAACTATCCCCACATATTACCTAATGCCTACCGGCTACTACCTATTAAAGTTGTCAAAAAACCTATTGTAAAACAAAGGGTTATCCATTTGGTTCGAAATTTGAAAATGAATGAACTCATAAACTGAACTACAAAAATATTACTCGTCAGTTTAGGAAAGAGTTAAGGAGAATAAATTCGATACTGGTCAACAATGGCAACTTTTTCTTTTGTCTAATTAACCAACTGTCGAAAGAATGAGACTAATGTTTTTTAGGGATAACGTGACGTCGGAAAATGGATGTTTCCTAGTTCTTAAACTACCTATTATGTAGTGTAATATGTAGTTTAAGAAAAAAGTTTACTAAAAATGAATGTAGTACGCATGATGTAGATTCGATTCTCATACGATACAAACATTTGTAGACATGATTATGATTTTATCTACCCATTCTACGAACTCTACTTAGTTACTAGGTCATTATAATTATTATTGATGTTATATATTTATGTATATTAATAGCATCTTTCATAAAGTATTTTATCTGGCTGACTTTAGAAAAAAATACTTTATATACTTTCTACTATCTACTACCTATCTATCTAGGTTTTCGTAAAGTCAAGTACTTAATATAAAAAGGGTTTAAGCTTATTCCGGCATCTGTAGCCACATAAAATATTAAACTGTTATCCGAGGATCCTCTAAATCTTTCCGAGATAAAAACTATACATTATGTACGTATGGAGGTATTCAAAATTACTTGATAATTTTGTCGAATAGTTTTTTGTGGGGATACATTAGCAATTATCATCAGATTTCTATTTGCTATTATTAATGTGTATATAGTTGATATGTATAAGGTAACACGGTAGTAATGGACACAACTGTTATACACAAGTACTGGTTTATTAGTGACTGTCACTGAGCTACGGGCTCTCTTACATTGTTAGGAGGTAGTTATAATAATAGTGGTAGGTAACTTGTGAATAAATTTTATAACAATATTTTTAAGCAAATATGAGTGGAAAGTTGCTGAATTAGTCGGTCTGTTTCACCTCCTATATGCACTTAACGGGGTATATAAGAATTTATATAAAGCTTCTCTTTGAACCATCGTTTATTAATCTAGATTACGTGATGTAGAAAATTGTATCATATTTCAAGTATAAAGTAATACACATGTAAAAGTTTATACTTTGTTACATATATATAACATAAATATAACGTGTAAAAAGTTATTTACACAATTATTAAAAATTGTTACCAATTACTCAAATTATATTATATATATTGGTGTGACATTATAAAAAAAAAACAAAACTCAAAGCAGAAAACAAAACAAAAGTAGAGGTTAAAACTCAGATTTAAAATATTATATTTTGCTAAAATTTTACAGAATTTTCTATTTTCCATTAATTTCATTTATGAATTATGGAACAACCTACCGTTTACGAAACCATAAACAAAGCAATGGAAATCGTAGCAATGTTTTATGTTTTGTGTTAGGTTATGTTACCTTACAAGGTAAAGTAAACACGAAATTAGGTTTTGAAGTTAAATATGTTTGTTATCAGGAACACTGTTTTAGCAAATTATCTACTACTACTAACATCTCAAAACTGATGTCGGACATTTCCTAATGCGTTTACTATTACTTCTTATGTAATTTTAATTCTAAATATCCTTGACATTTCGTAAAACTGGACCCAAATTGACATAACTAAAAAATAATAGTTTTTCAGAAGACCATAAATCGTACAATTGTATTTTTATTAGAGAAGTTATTCTATTTAGGTAGTATGATGTCACTTTATATTATAAGAATATACCGTAAAACATATATTGCACTCTAAAAATGAAAATGAAATTATGAAATTCAATTTTATTTTAGATTACAAATAGGTTACATATGTCTATATAAACTAATAATCAATATCTAAACTGCAACTAGAAACGAGTATTTAGTTTTCTACGTCATTATCGCACTCAACAATAGCGTGAAAAAGTTGAGAAAACAATTGAAATTCCTGAAGTATTTAACAGTTTTCAATATTGTATTTCTTGCTCAAATGGAAAATATAATAAATATAATGATTGGGGGCGTTTATATTGAAATTCAAATGTGAGAAAATAACAATAATGATAAATAAAGAAAATAACATTTTAATTATTTATTCATCTTTGAATTTCATGCACATTTCACATTATGTGTTATAGTAAATATTAGTCTGGATTTGGTATTTATTTCGTCATAATCTGGATGATTATTACGAGACCTCATCTGTACTATTTTCAGTATATTTTTTTCATCTACTCGTTGTGTTAAATTCTATGTTAAAAACAATGAAACCTCTTATTTTTAATCTTTTCTAGTTTATATTAATTTAGTATATTTAAATTAAAAACATTTCTTGGCAAAGTTTGTCCTTATTGAAATTAATACATATTACATATTTAATACATATTTCCTAATCTATTTGAAGTTTTAGATGGGAGCCGGCAACGCAATTATTAAATTTTGTCGAACAAGACTATCAAAACTACTAATGGTTTCACTGATATTATTGGTGTTATGGAAATTGGACTGGTTTGCTTCCTGTAAGACATTTCAATTTGTATTAGATAAAATACGTGTATTGTATATATTATTTATACAACCTCTTATTGTCAAGTTGATGGTATATGATTTTGAAATACCTACTTCTAAGTATTTTAATTGATCCAGATGTGCTTATGTCTACAAATAGAATGTTCCTAAGTTTATAATACAAATATATTAGCGCCAGGACATCGCACGAGTATTAAAATTAATTGAAACACTAAACAAATTGTACACATAAAGATTCAAATTTTAATGTATTTTTTTTATTCTATCACTCATTCAGACATATATATTTCATGTATTAAAACTGTATGAAAATCCGTTTAGTAGTTATGAGATTATTGCGAAAATACAGACAAACCCGGTGAGAGATTTATTTAATATTATAATGTGTATAGACTAGGGCCACTAGTCTATTCATATTTCTAGATTTGTCCGGGTGCTATACAATTTAATTAGATTTATATAGATTAGATATAATAAATTATTCTTTACTCATATGTAAATATTATGTCAATAATGTACATTAAAATGAAATAGTTTATTATAACTCTTCTGGAGTTTACTTTCCTCACAACAAAATCCATTCCCTGTCCTTCTTTATACTAGTACAGATTGTTAAATGCGCAAAACTTTAATGTATTACGCAAAATGAAGACAATTAACATATCATGCCTACAGCAGTGTTTGCATAAAAATAGAGTGATAAAAATATATGTTGTCAGACAAGAATAGAACATTAATCATTAGCAACTGATTAGTTAATTACTTTAAATAACAACTCACAATCTGAAGTAAGTTAAGAATATACTATGTATAATATTTACTTTTACGCACACATACATTTGAAATTTTTTTACTACATTTTCTGTAACTTGGCATATAAGTTTCCAAGCAACTCCTCTCTTTCTACTAGGCGTTCATTTTGTATGTGTATTATGCGATATTTGTTTTGCAATCGTTTTACATTCTAATGGTTTTCTATTGTATTATATTAGTGCATTTGTGTTTTTTCTGTTAAATATATTTAAGAAAAAAAGAAAATGTAACGATTTATTCTTATTTCCTTAGAAATAAGGAAAAGGCCAAAGCTCCTATTACTTGATTTAGTTATTGAACTGTTTTGTCCTTTTCTTACGTGTCTTTTTTTATATAACTGGAATAGCAAAGCAAGCGAACACGACACTATATATGTATTAAATAGCTAAAGCTAAAATACTCTGCTGTTTTCATTTGAAAGATAGGTACACTGTATTATCTAAAATAGGTTCTTAACAGTTTTCAATAAGTACTCATGAATATCGTTATTTATTATATTGAATTATAGTTCGGGCTGGTACAGGTAACTTTCACGCTGAAATATGTGCTAGGACTCTACGACTATGTTTGACGTGTGTATCTATTTTGAACATGTTGAATTTTTATATAACATGGGTTATTATAAAGATCTGGACTAATGCAAGTGTCATAAATTGTGTCAGCTTATATCTAAGCAAGATATTACTTATCTCGTTCATATGGGATTAAGATGGCCTCGTCTGTGGGCCATACTGATGTTTTCTGGAATTGGCCATATGGATTATAAGATTGTACAATAAATTATATGTATAACAATTATATAATTGTATGAAAAATCAATTGATCCCTTCCTGTACATGGAATATGTACGAGAAAAGGTACTCTAAATAATCATTGTTAAAATTTTTATCTGTTAATTTATTTCTCTGTAAGCGCTCTAATCTCAGAAACAGCTTCACCGATTAGACTGCGGATTTCGCTATATCTTGTAGTAAGCTTCAATTCGATTTTAGTGTACAAACTTTGCATATCAATTTATACTTCTGACTAATTTTTTAGTTATGTAACACCGATAACAAATAAAATTAATCAGCGAGAAGGAGGTGGTCCTACCCTGCTATTGTAGTTATAGTTAAAAATATAGTGAGTATATTGAGTGTTGCTTTCAATGTAACGCCAAATAGTTGCCAAGTCTTCTGATCCATCTAAAGTAACAGCCGTGAATATGTTACAATAATGTAACGTAATTGCTCTTAAGTACCTAATTGTGTATTAAAGTGGAGATTTGACAAACATAGACCTAGAGACGTGACCTAGGGGTATATGATGTATCTAACAATATGTGTGGGGCGGCGCGGCGGGAATCCTGCAAAAAGGGCTCAAAATAGAGCTCAGTAACTTTGACAGATGCTCATTTCAGAAGGCTCATGCGAATTATTTGCCTCGGGATAGACATAAAATCGTAGATTGAAAGACAATTTAATAAAACGTACAGTGATAATAGGTTGTATTTTGGACGAAAAATATCACAAATACACCTACAGACATTTTTGTAATGTAAATAATAATAATATACGGTCACGACTATAGTATTAGATGGGGTAGTTAGAGATATTGACAATTGTCGATGTCGTATCATATATATGTAAGCACTAAAAATTAAAATTATCATAGTAGAAACTTGATATACATGTTGAAAAATATAAAGTTAAACTTATAAATGAGATGAAATACCCACATGAATATAATAATATACGTGTATACAGATATTATCATGTGTTGCGCAATTATTGTGAACTTTTAAAAATAGGTTGAATATTTAGTAGAGTAAGTAATCTTTTCAAAGAAAGAAATAAAGAGTAACAATATAATTACAGTCACAATTTTATTATGAACATGATTTAGGACCTGTATATCATTATGGCTTAATAAAATTGACTATTATTATTAATTAAGTTCTTTGCGTAATTGGAATGGCTAATAAGCTAACGGTCTACCTCATGATAAGTTAGCTCTGGCATCCTATGATGATATAACGTGTGTCACTCATGTGTTAATATTTTGGACGACTAACACGTGATGCTTCTGTAACCTATAATATCACTGCCTTATCTCACCATTGAAAGGAAATCCACATTACAAAGAAAGTTACGATTGAAATAAGTGAAGCAGAGGCAGCATACAGACAACTTCATATAAACTCTACTTAGACAAAATTACCGATTTATTTTGGGAAAGAGTACAAATGTATTTGTTGTAATGATTATTTACGATATTGGAAATAACAAAAATATCATCTAATCTATCTGCTTCAATATTTATTTGAGACAGTTTATTGAATAAAAGCTTGGATCTATCCCCATCAATTGTTACAGAACGCACGCAATAGTAATGATGATTTCATTTTAATAACCTTTGTCTAGCAAGGGTTGGTACTTCCACATACGTTAATTGAAGGGAAGAGTAAAATAAATCACTATAACGTTAACATATTCAATTCGTCTTCGTTCATCTTTGATGTAAATTGGCCCTTATTCGAAATCTCTTTGACGTCCTTTATGGCTTTGAATTCAATGATTTCGTTAATATACTTTCTATCTTATCGTAATTGGATAAAAGGTATAATCTAAAGTGAAATGAGCGCGTTTAAGAAGCTCATTCATTTTATTTGATTAATTTTTAAATATTTTATCGATGATTTTTTCATACGTCATATAATAAGGTTTCACGCTTCGCGAGTTGTGGGCGTGTAGGCGTTATGGTGACGTTGTTATCCTTGTATTTTTAAAACGTCCATTTAAATTCTATTTTGAGGTCTTTATTGGTTGTTAATATATTGAAGGGATATGCATTATATAAAGAAGATGTACCTATGTCATGATAATATTATTTATGAGGTATTTTTTGAGGCTGTTACGAATGTCCTGGTCTGTACGTGTATGATTGCGTTTGAAATAAGCGTGAATAAAGTTTAAAACAGTATATTCAAGTGTAGGTTACATTGTTACATCATCGAAAATATATTACAGTCACTGAATTCCGGATGTAAACGTAGTACAAATTGCAATATGATAATTAAGGGTTTCAATCATGGAATTAATTTTTGTTACCAAATTATAACTAAAACAATTCAGTTTTAATGCACGCATGGAAAATTGGATCTCTGTATCAATAATTAACAAAAACATCGAAATATCGCTTCAGTGCATATTTCGGCGAATATAGTTTTAATTTTAGTCAAATTATGCAAACAATAAATGGCACGAGAGTGCCGCGTTACAATAAACATTACTGTTAGAAATGGAAAAAACAGTGACTTTACACAAGTGAAAAGTTTATGACAGTTAGGTTTTTATATTAGTTAGGCTTTTTTATATTTCACTTGTGAATGCATTAGATTTGTAGATTCTAATATATTCACAAGTATAAAACAGAGATCAGAATGCCTAAATACATCATTAGATAAAATACTTTTAAATTTATTTGTACGAGAGATGCACAACTTGGGAATAGAAAGATAATTGGACGCTGAATTCTACAATAAATACAAAATAAACGCAAACCCATTACAATATTTTTATTTAATCTCCACCTTTTGAAAAAGGGTTTTTGGTTAGTCTGCTATTAATATTTTGCTTTTATTATTTCTTTATACAATGACATATTACTATAATACACCATACTAGTATTGGCCCACGTCTATGCTAATGCGACCATTACTATCAGGAAAAATAAGTAAAAGTAAAGTATTCAAATTTGCATAAATATTAGTTGAACAGTTACAGAGTGAATAAATAATAATCAAACCAACAATACAACTTACTTTTTTTATAATATTATAATATTAGCTAGGATTAATAAAGAAACTCACGTGTATCATCGTAATGTACTCCTTGAAAGAAGCTGAAGCATTTCTGTACAGCGACGGTGTCAGGAGGTGTCGGGTTCCAACATAGCAGGCCGTCATAATACGCCGGGCAATAGTCCGTCAGGTTGACGTCTCTAGCCAAGCAGTTATCCCGCGCCGTGTCATTGCTGAGCCCAGCCTGGCCCTCTATCCCGTCCAATGTTTGTAAATCCTCCAGTTTGCCGTTTATCACTTTCACTCGACTAGAAAATTGAGCTTTGTAGCTTTGGTTTGTTCTTTGGCTTGATTAACACTCATTTAAACTTCACTTATACACGCGTGCACATTTATCTAATACTTTCTCAATGAAAATTTGCCTATCACTAAAAAGCCGCTGAGGGTTGGCTTGTTTGTTTCAAGTGTAACGCGCGTGTCGCCGTCCCGTAGCGGAGTCTGTGTTGTGTTCTAATGTCTTCAGTGAGATTGTTACCATGATAAGAATGTTTGCACTTGGCTTGTGATCTAACTTATCGAGTGATAACGCTCTGAGAACAAACATCGGCAGACTAGAAGTATTTGCGTGTCGTGCAAGGAACCTTTGCTTTTTGTAGACAATTATCACCGCTCCATTTACGCCGAGGACCGTGAAACCTGCAATGAGATAAGTATGATTATGTTTTCGCTTTGATAAATTTGTACTCAGGTATGTGTAATTGAAGATACTTAACGTATCATAAATGTCAAAAGAGCAAACTGGAATGAATTATAACATCTTTGTAATATTATGACAAGCGAGTCAAGTATATCTTCTATATATATAAAAGAAAGTCGTGTTAGTGTTCGGCGGGTCAGCTAGTAGTATATATATGCAGATATTTAGGACGCAGATGCTTCATCTAGCATATAAAAAATGACGTTTGCTGGAGGACAAATAGTGCTATTCTATTTTTTTTAATCACAATAAAATATGTAAACACATTACAATGTTACTTCTTTCTGAATTATATGGTGAATTTGAATAAAGTTGCTTATAGCGAGACATAAACACTGTATTTCACACAGCTCTCAGATCTTGTTCTGTGATCAAGTGATCACATAGAGTTTCTTATTCCCAGTTTATTTTATATATATATATATATATATATATATATAATTAGTTAACACATTGTTTGTATCCAAAAATATATTAAAAGCATACAGGCCAAATTAGACCACAGTTAGTTTTAGACACATTACAACCCGTTTTTTTTACGTCTTCAAATGGTTACAAAGCTGATGCGCTAAAACTGCATTGAAGTTGGTAACCGCCGTATATAAACATAAAAATAGTAAGTACTATTAGTATAATACCAAGTAAATTCCCCTGCACGTAATCATTCTTCCAACATAGCAGTCCAAATAACAATACAAGCTCTCAGATTATCTTAATTTACCAGACTAGGTATTTTTTTAATATATATGTATATAATTAAGACAGCGCCATCGAAACCCACGGTAAGCAGAGCTTGTGTTATGGGTACTAGGCAACTGATCTAAATACTTGAATATATCTATTTTTTTAATAACACATATGATAATTGACTAGAATTGTCTACTCTAGAGTTAATTATCAGATGATGTATGCATACACAAATATATGCATACATCATTATGCTACATTAGGTGTACCTTTTTACGCCTCGTTTAAACGCCTCAGGATTGTTTAGACGGAGGCACATGTGGATTGTGTTGCCATTATAAGTATAATTTTTTTTATCAATACATATACTATATAGCGATTATTATTAAAATATATCGAAACGACGAAAGACAGACAGTTCAAAGAGATATGTTTCGTAGAAACGATCTGATTGCAATTAAATTCTTTATCCTTTTCCGCCTCTTTGATGTTAGATGAGGTCTGCTTCTTGTTCTTGTATCAAGTAAATCTACACGATCCAATGTTAATATTTTAAGAGCTACATATTATTACTACTTTTAATATATATTTACTTATATATAGATCTTTTTTATTAATTCACGTATTAACATGTAAAGAAACATGAAGTTTAACTAGTGTCTTTCTTAATAATGTAAATAATGTGAAAAATGCCTCAGACTACATCACTTACACGTTTAAATGTAAGTGTTACCACAGATAACATAATATTACATGGCAAATACTAAGCAAATATTATAATTGGATATTTCTCAATAAATTAGTTGTGAGTTGATACGACGCTAAAATAAATGGAGCAATTTTACATAATCTTGCCATTAAATTCACGATTCTCTGTAATCATAATATAATTACTCTGTAAATTTCTAAACATCCCATTTCCGATGAATCCATGACACAAAATACATGACACTCTTATATGATAATAAAACTATGTTTACAAGTAATGTTGTATGTTTACAAGCTACCGTTGAGTATAGTTCTTATGTATGTATCTAAAAATATACAAGTACTGTATGTCCGTTAATGAAATATGGTGCATGTAAATCATCAAGTAAATATCGCTGATAAAATTGTTTGCAAAAGTTTTATATGGGCAAACAGAGATAAATTCGTACTTTTCTTGTGTGATAGAATGCAGTTAGTAGCGGACGTGATGCCATGAAGTAAATACGGGTACGTGTTATCTATTAAAAATAAAGGTAGTGCGATAAAATAAGAAAAATATGGTCTAGATTCGGAGGAAACCAGTAAATGAGTTGTCCAGTTTAGATATTGGTTGACAAGATAAGTACGAGTTGATGTTAAGTAAGTTTAAGAACCACATACGCGTATCAGTTATGAATTCATTAAGAATACTCACATTAAGAGTCCAGAAAATGTAACTTATACCATACCCATATATTTTCATACCAAGTACATGCAAATATTAACGTAGGATACCTATGTGTTATCTTGCATTATTACAGAGAACGTGTACTGATTTTAAATTATTTGAGCTATACATAAAATACCAATACATTAGATTAATACAAAATTTGGTACCTGTCATTTTGAAAAGATTGTAATATATCTTATATTGGATATCATTAAGAACGCGACCCTGATAAGTTATCAGCATCAATAAAAATTAAACAAAAGCCTTTTTGATGACTGTAATTTGTTCCTTCAGCGTCGAGTCTTAAATCGTTGTGGGAAAAATGATATAGCAGAAACAAAAATAGGCATCATACATATACAAGTATTTATATTTTATAATTGGGAAGTACCCCAAATTAAATCGACTAATGGTGATGGTGATAAAATTAATACGAGATATTTTTAATATTATACATACATACATATATGCAGACAACAGAATATAAATACAAATAAAAATGTAGTTTAAATTGGGCGATATATTCTGAAACATACATAAAATATTGTACATTACACAGTAGAATAGAAATAACCTTTATTTAAATATATTTAATAATCTTGATTTATACTTTCCGAATGAATTGAATTCGGAAGTATACTTATCCTGAATCATATTGAAATTAATCTTCTTTATAAAGGCTGTTAATTATATTTCGTTGTAAGAATAAAGACAGACTATTAAGTATTAGTTAATGTTAAAACTTACTCACTTTAATATTAAATCAATTATAAATTCCTACTGATTACAGTCATTCACTAAAAACTAATTTCGTACGTATTAGGACTAGACGGATAAACTTTCCTCGACACGACATTTTAGTTTTTAATTAGTCAATTTAAATACCTTTACAGAAAATTTCACATTGGTTCCACGAATTTATAAAGTTGTAATAGATTTGAAGTAACTTTTCATCATTATATAATTTTCGTTAATTAAGCGTTGTCTAGTTTATGATATACAATGATAAATTGAGTCGCGTCAAGGGAGTCTGCCTATCGATATTTTAATTAAGTTAATTAGATCACAAAGTGTCGGGCGGTTCTTGCTTTGCCAAACTTACTCGTCTCCTTTCTATAAGTAATGCCTAGCCGATTGACGAGATATCAATCATAATTAAAATGGTTATGAAATTATTTGAAAGTGAATTAATCTTCCAAATATCTCCTGAAAACTATTTAACTCTCCACCCTTTTATCAACTTAATTAAGTTCGTAAAGAACTGTTTAATTTAGTAACACGGGTAAAGTACAGACAGTTTCATATAGATAGACAAGTTTTCTTAATTTAATTTTAGGGGACACTAATTTAATGTCCCGTAATATATGTGTTTTCATTTAATTATGTTTAAATAGTATATATTTTAATAAATTTTGGAATTTAGACCGACGAGTAGCTAATTTATTTATTTTACATTTGAATGATAAAATTACTGAAATTAATTCATTATTAAACTAATAGATCAATAGTTTATAGTACAATTGCTGGAAATATACACATATATCCGCCGTTTGCTTTTGACCTTCATGTACATTAAGTTGCTCGGTGGTCTGCCTTTAGGACACCACTTTATGACCGATGATCGCGGGTTCGATTCCTCGCACGGTATAAACATTTGTTATTAAGAGTATGATTGTTTGTGTTGCTCTGGGTATTTTCTATATATATTATGTATTTATTTATAAGTAAATGTATTTAAGTATTTATATCAGTTGTCTAGTACCCATAACACATGCTCTGTTTGCCTTGCGACTAGATGGCGTTGTGTGATATTATTATTTGTATATTGTCCTGATATTATTATTATTCCTACATATTATTAATAAATAATTATAATTCAGAATAAATTATGGTCGCTATTCATTTAATTTTATACAGAATGAAATAAAAAATTAAAATAATTTGAAGTAGGTATGAAAAATTAAAGGTCCTTTTTCTATCAAGTATTATGAAATGAAAGGGAAGCTTTTAGCTAGCTAATGCGATTGGGTACTTCGTCTGGAACATAAAATATGGAGGTTTGTTCATAAAGAGAATAAAGTATTCGCGTAACAAAGCATGACAACTAATTGAGTTGGATGGACAATCAAGCGAGTTATTTCGCAGGGTTGGCAAATTGTTAACTGTTAGTTAGAGTTTAAACAAATAATGGAGACCAATTTTATTTAAGTTATTTTATTTATTTATTTAACTATAAACATGATGTATTTTCTATATATATTATGTATTTATTTATAATTTATTTATTATTAATAAATAATTATAATTCAGAAGAAATTATACGATAGAAATAAAAAATTAAAATAAAATGAATTAAAGGTCCTTTTTCTATCAAGTATTATGAAATGAAAGGGAAGCTTTTAGCTAGCTAAGTAAAGTACATTTGGGGACATAAAGAGAATTAACACTATGCAGAATTTATGCAGAATATTCTGTCTACCTATGCGTAAAT